TTTTTTTTTTTTAATCAAATTTATTTTAAGAAAATGCTTTTGGAGTAAAAATCTATCTAAAGATGCTTTTCTATTTAAGATACATTAATAATTGAGTTTATTCAGCATGAAATGGCGCTTAGTTGTGTAGCATAGGCTGTATATTCTGCAATATTTACATTTTTGGTAAACACATTGAATGAATCCAAGGTCTGCAAGCTGGGATAACATGCACTGCATTGATGCATTCACACAATTTCACAGTAAACATGAGAAAACACATGAAATAAAAGAATTTGAGTAGTTCTCCAGCTATGTGTGATTAACCTATGAACCTAAAATTGCTTCTGATATGGCTGTTTTACTAACCTGACAGCTTATTATTCTAAAAAGGAAACCTTCCTTTCGTTTGCAAATATTAAAGATTCTAACTACCAGCAAGAATTAGTCAGATTCCTTACATTTAAAGAGCACCTGTCATTTTAGATCCATCATGGCAGCGCCTGTCAGTGGGCATCCACTCATCTGCTGCCGCCACATCCCTCTCCTTGTTGTGTCACTTCCGCATCACCAGCCGTCCCATTAAAGTGAATGGGACTTTCGGTGAGTCAACAGTGGGTCAGAGGAGGAGCCACTGCGGGACAGACATGACAGTTGCTCTTTAAAAATTGTGAGTTAAATCAAGTCTTTTCACTAGTGATTTAAATCAAATCCACCCTTCCAGAAAGTAAACCTAGTGATATTTAAAAAATTTACATTTGAACATTCTGTTTCAAAGTGTGCACCTTGTAAATGTACACAATGCTCCCAGTGATTCTTCCATTCTTCATAGCATTCCTAGAAGTCTTGAAGTGGGATGGCATTCAGAGCCTGCATAGTGGCTCTTTGGACATTATCCACACTACCAACATGGTGTCCTTTCAAACCCTTCTCCATCTTTGGGAATATGAAAAGGTTGTAAGGAGCCAAGTCGGGTTGTTGGGTGGATGGGGAAGCACCGTGGTCTATTTTTCAGCCAAAACCTCTGACAGCCAAGCACTGAGACTGTACGTTGTCATTTATGAAGGATTCAAGTTGAGCCGATATTGGGACGCACACAAAAAACTATTTGTCTCAAGCAAATGACAACTTTCAGGTAAAATATTTGATTCACAGTTTTACCAGTAGATACATTAAAAAAAACAACCACAAACCCCAATGACCATTGATTTAACTTTTTTGATTTGCTCATTCGAGCTTTCTTGAGGCGAGGTGACGTGTGCCGTTCTGAACTTTGTTTCTTCATCTTGCGATTGTACTCAGACACCCAGGATTCATTTTCTGTGATCACTCGACTCAAAAAAATAAAAAGCTCTCTTTCCAAACGGGCCAACAGGTCTTGGCAAACAAAATGATGGTGTTCCTTCTGATCAGGTGATCACGTTCATGAACAGTTGACTTGGTAATTCCCATTTCCTCTGCAATCATTCTGATTGTGAGCCGTCGGTCACGGTTGAGAACAGACCTCACTGCATCCACATTCTGTTCCGTTTTTGATGAAGAGGGGCGTCCTGATGTTCGTCTTCAACACCTTCTTGTCCTTCCTTGAAGGCCTTGTGCCATCAGTACACTTTGCAGATGACAGTGCAGCTTCTCCATAAACTTTCCTCACCATTTCTAAAGCACTTTTACCCAATTATACGCGCAATTTTATCTTGTACTGCTGTTCCAAACTTGCTTGCATTTTTCTTAATCCGAGGCGCTTGAACAGGGTGTCACGAAACAATGTCTCGACTGACAGAGCTGGAATGCAACTGATCAGTGTTCTAATGTACACCTGGCACCTCACCCCAAGTGGCCTTGGCCAGCTTCTCCGTTCACAGAGCCCTTATTGAGCGTAGGAACCTCATTCACGTTACATTATGGACACCTCATAGACTCTTTCTGGCAATTTGGTTCAGATCTGCAATTTATTATTGGCAGTTATTGGGCATACTTAAAGTATGTTTGCACCCAGATGCCTATATGGATGTTTTTTGCTGTTAGTCATAGCAGGAACTGTATAGCTTTGTTGAGTCTTTGTCTTTTAAAGTATAACTTAAGGCAACTCTTTTTTAATTTTTGATAGAATGGAGAGGGATTTGAACATCTGTCAATTTCTGTTGCCACCTCTGCCCCTTTTAGGGAGATTTATCCTTTCTGTTGGTCTTGTTTTCCATTATTCATCAAACCTTTAAAGTAAAAACCAAAGCCTAAATGTTTGGTCAACTTTAAAACAGTTATAGAGAGTAAATCTTCCAATAGGGACACTAGTTTTGGTGACACTCTGGGATTTCCTCACTTTGGAGGAATTTCCTCTCACTTCCTCTTTGGGTTTGATACTGGAAGTGAAGAAAAATCTCCCCAGAGGGACACAGATGGCAGAAAAAAAACCTCATTATCCAAAATTGAAATAAAAAAAAAGGTTTGCATGTAGTTACACCTTTAATTCCTTAGTAGTGAATTAGGCATGTGTTACAGTGAAGGAAATAAGTATTTGATCCCCTGCTGATTTTGAATGTTTGCCCACTCACAAAGAAATGATCAGTCTAAAAATCGAATGGTAGGTGTATTATAACACTGAGAGACAGAATAGCAACAAAACATTCAAACGAAATGCATGTCTAACAAATTATACACGGATTTGCATGTTCATGAGGGAAATAAGTATTTGATACCCTATCATTCAGCAAGATTTCTGACTATCAGGTGTCTTTCATAGTAGTAAGCTGAGAATAGAAGCAGTCTCTTAAAGGGAGTGCTGCTAATCTAATTTTATTACCTGTATGAAAGACACCTGTCCACAGGAGCAATCAAACAATCAGATTCCAAACTCCACACCATGACAAAGACAAAAGAGCTGTCCAAGAATGTCAGGGACAAGATTTTAGACCTTCACAAGGCTGAACTGGGCTACCAAACTATCGCCAAGCAGCTTGGTGAGAAGGTGACAACAGTTGGTGCAATCATTTGCAAATGGGAGAAAGACAAAACAACTGTCAGTCTCTGTAGGTCTGGTGCACCATGCAAGATCTCACCTCGTGGAGTGTCAATGATCATGAGAACAGTGAGGAATCATCCCAGAACTACACGAGGATCTTGTCAATGATCTCCAGGCAGCTGGGACCACAGTCACCAAGAAAACAATTGGTAACACACTACACCGACAAAAATTGAAATCCTGCAGTGCCTGCAAGGTCCCTCTGCTCAAGAAAGCACATGTCCAAGCCCATCTGAAGTTTGCCACTGAACATCTGAATGATGCAGAAGACTGGTTGAAAGTGTTGTCAGATGAGACCAAAATCAAGCTCTTTGGCATCAACTCAGCTCGCCATGTTTGGAGGAGGAAGAATGCTACCTATGACCCCAAGAACACCATCCCAACTGTCAAACGTGGTGGAAACATTCTGCTTTGGGGGTGTTTTTCTGTTAAGGGGATGATGGATGGGGCAATGTACCATCAAATCCTGGGTGAGAACCTTCTTCCCTCAGCCAGGGCATTGAAAATGGGTCATGGATGGGTGTTCCAGCATGACAATGTCCCAAAACACACAGCCAAGGCAACAAAGGAGTGCCACCAAGTACTAAGTCATGTTTTATGAAGGGGATCAAATACCTATTTCCTTTACATTACATCATTATTTCGGAAGTATGTGGTTGGCCATTTTACTTACTGCACTGTGGATGGATGTTTTTACTTAAGGGGGCTACTTGTATTCTAGGAAACATGATTATTTCTGTATAAAGAATTTGTGCACTGTTTATTCGAATATAAAACAAATTATGCTCACAAAGTGACAGTTTGGGGTCACTACACTATGAGAGGTCTTTTACTCTTTCCCCTACCATATTGGCATTTATGAGACAGAACCGCTGACTGTCTTTGACCAAATCTGACAGTTGGTTAATGAGTGGAGGTAAGAGGTAGTATTGACTGGAGGCGCACAGAGGAGTAGCAGCACGCAGATATTGGGAGCACGTTTATGGTTTGTGTGGCCATTGTACTGTTAATACAAAGTTGGAGCAGTTTTTCACAAGTACTTTATATTCTGTTTGCGTTTAATTTGTATTGTGTTTTATTACTAAACTATTAGATATTTACTTACACAATTTTTGGTTCTAGGTGTTTATAAGAGTGTTGCATTTTCAGCAACACTTTAATATACTAATCTTATAGCTTCACATTTTTTTGGTAAGATTCTCAATTTAATTCTTTATATTTTTGGTGAGTGCAGGATTATTTGGGATTATTAAGATTTGATTTTTAACTTCGTAATTGCTTTAAGACTGGTACACACGATCAGAAAATCGAAGCAATCATACAATAATCTGATTGTTCATACACCGCTTTTGTCCAGAATTATTCAAAGGAACAAGCACAAAATTTTTCTCATACAATACCAGTTCATGTGATTTATGTATATTCAGTACAGTTTGTCTGAAAATACATCACTTTTGAATTTTTATTCTGTCGTAAAAATTTTTTCGTAACTTTGGTAACCTCTTCACTTTCGATATGAGACTAGCATATGAAAAAAAAAAAAGAGGATGATCATTCATCCAATATTCTCATCATGTGTACGAGACCTAAGGGTTCACATACACAGGTTATTATAGGCATTTTTTTACTCTAGTAAATGCCAATGCCTCTTGCAATGGAGTTTGCATGTGCATCTGACATATTTCCCCAATGGAAAACTTATGTACAGATGTAAAAATTGTCAAACGCACATGCTCTGGTAAACACTGATGCAAAGAATCATTAGCATTTAAGAGTATTGCATTCACTTACATGATGGGCTGTACACAGCGCATGCAGCTCCCCGGGCGCTAGGAGATTTATGCTAGGCAGAAAAAAAATGCCCACTATAGCCAGTGTGTATGAACCCCAATACAGCCCTTAATGAAATCTATCAAAGCTATAAATGTATTTTTTTTTTCTCTTTTCATGATATTTCATGGTTTCTCTCACTTTGTTTCTTTTTTTTTTTTTTTTTTTTTTTCTAGTATAAATGCTATAATATGGTGTGGGAAGTGAAGACAAAGGATATGTCCAACACATTGCAGAAAGTCCAGTTAGTTGTGGACAAAAGACCTACAGTAATAAATGAGTCTGTGGAGATGCTTAAATGTGATGAACGTCTCCCATCTTCTCCAGGATACGAGTCGTCTGATGATCACATGGAACTTGGTATGGATTGTACCATTTAGAAGTCATGTAGAGTAATAGTAAATAAGTAAGGCCTCTTATATACAAATGTTAATACCAATGCTCACATTGGTGTTAGTAAAATACAATCGCAATGAACAAGCTTGTTCACATGAGGGAATTTAGGAAAGATTTGTGCCAAGTTTAATATAAATATGCACGTTATATATGGTGTATTATGTATTGTGTAGCATTCATCAACATAGAGTGCTCTTGAATGCAGTCATTTGCTGTGATTTGAGTGATGAATGTAGAATTGTAAAAGGAGACTTTTTTTTTAAGATAAACCTGAATCTTGAGGCAGCACAAATGGTTAGCACTTCCGCCTGGCAGTACTAGGGTCATTGGTTCGAATCACAACCATGTCACTACCTTCCTGGAGTTTGCATGTTCTCCTTGTGCCTGTGTGGGTTTCCTCTGGGTACTCTGGTTTCCCTCCTGCACTCCAAAGACATGCTGGTAGGTTAATTGGCTCCTGTCTAAATTGGCCCTAGTATGTGTATGTATGAATGTGAGTTAAGGATCTTCGATTGTATGCTCCTTGAGGGTTAGGGACTGATGTGAATGTAATATATACAGCTCTGTGTAAATTGACAGTCCTATATAAGTACCTGTAATACATAAATCTTTTAGCTGCTAAGATGTCCTGCTGGCCCGCTAGATTCAATATTTGAAATCGGTAACCCAGGAGAAGAATATTAATAAGGACTTTAATCTGACTCTTCTGATTTGCACACTTGTTCCCAATCAGTGATTTAGAAAGTACTGAAACCTGTGGATCAGCACAACAACAAGGCGATTAGCAATTCAGAAAGAGGATAAAGGCAGTGCCCACATTTTTTCTTTGGAAAGGATTTCTTTAAAGTGTATTTCTAGCCATCATAACAACATGTTTGTAGTATATCTCTGCACTATATTTTCCCTTTAAAAATGCTGCAAGTACAGAAGAATACTGGTTGGTCTGTCAGAAATCCAGTGTGCTCCCATCTCTCTGAGATGGCCACTCTCTCTGCTGCATGATATGAGAGAGAGAGGTGTCCTGTTATACAGCATGGAAGCTCAGAGCAGGGCTGACAATGCTGATATGGATTTCATTGCAGCAGAGATAAGGTGTTGTCAGTTCAAACAAGAAGTTAGAAGAAGCACCTTGGTTTTCTGGCAGATCAACAGGTATTTTTATGTAACTTGTAGAAAATATTGGGAATTGTGCATGTTTTGTAGAGAGTAATATATATATATATATATATATATATATATATATATATATATATATATATATATATATATATATATATATATATAAATAAATTTTTTTTTTTTTTTTTTTTACCATCACAGGAGGTAGGTAGGTAGGTAGGAGGTAGGTAGCACTGGAGTTGTTTAATGTCTCACAAACCAGTCTGGCTATTTTCTTTAAAACCAAATCCTGTTTTCCTGTATTTTATGACCTTCAGTCTTAAACATGTTGTACATTCTTCAGTAATGTTTATCATAGTAGCTGCTACAGCCCTAACATATTGGCAGTTACTAATTGTCCGTTTTTATATTCTGACAAAGTAAGGACAGTTTGTGTTCTTCAATGCACAGATTTGTAAAGTTGCAATGCATTGTACAGTAAAATCTCTCTTGGGAAGTGTGTTCTGTTTAATGTTTGATTGGGGTCTTCTCTTTCAGATGATCTTCCCGAGTTACAAGCTGTTCAGACTGACTCCACATCATCACCTGGGGTGTTTCACCTTGATGCTAATGTGTCCCATCAGGAATATTCAGTGCCTTCTTGGAACCAGAATACCTCAGATATGTCTGAAAGTGCCTACTCATGTGACCGTGGGACAAACTGGCTGGCTGAGCTGGCAAACATTGCCACAAGTCCACAGAGTCCTTTAATGCAATGTTCATTTTACAATAGGTATGGCTTATATCTGTCTTCCCTTCTTCAGCTCCTTAGGGCTTAGCAGGCAGATAATGCCTAGTACACACAATCAGAAAAATGGATGAAAAATACCCATTTCAAAGTGATTGTACAATAAACTGATCGTTTGTACACCGCTTTTGAGAGCCAATCACAACAGTTCATGCAAAATTATCCAAAGTGACAAACATGAACATTTTTCTCATACCATACCTGAACTAACGATTTTGTTTAATCAGTACAGTATTCTTCCGAAAAAAAAAAAAAACAATCTGAAGACCAAGACCACGCATGCTCAAAAATGAAAGAATATATTACAATACAAGACATTGCGTCACTTCCAAAATTGTATTCTGTCGTATGCATTTTTCAGTATTAGACTAGCATGCAAAAAAAAAAAAAAAAAACCTTCGTCCGATATTCTCATTGTGTGTTTGAGGCTTCAGAGAAGATTTCTTTCTTATCTGCCTGTCTGTTGAACTGTGAGGGAGCATCATCACACTGCTGAAGTCCATCTTGTGTTTTTCATGAAACTGAATCTTGCATCACAAAGAATAGATATATGGTAGGTTATGGCCCACATATGCTATACGTTCTGATTGTACAATCTTTAGATCTGCCAACAATTATGTAGTGCAAGGGTCTGTCTGACTGGATACAGATTCACTAGATAGGCTAGGTAGGTCCTCATGTTATATAAAGGTTACTTTGGGGAGGATTTACTAAAATTGTAGTACACAAAATCTGGTGCAGCTGTGCATGGTAGCCAGTCAGCTTCTAACTTCAGTTTGTTCAAGTAAGCTTTGGCTAAAAAACCTGGAAGCTGATTGGTTTCTATGCAGAGCTGCACCAGATTTTTCACTCTCCAGTTTTAGTAAGTCTCCCCGTTTGTGATGTGAGTTGCTGTTAACAGTAGATCTACTCCTTTTACAGGTTCTAATTGGATTTTTCCATCAGTTTCCTTTCTCTTAGTTTGAGCCTGACACAGGGCAGATTGGAAAAAAACACAAGTGATTGCATGGTCAGCACCCATGTCCCCGACCTTCAGCCAGTCCCTAACATTTAATCCTGTCTCCATTTGTCTAATTCCTAATCTAACGCTTAACCTTAGCTGGCCACCGAACTCTGGCAATTAATTAAGACATCACTTAACTCCTAAACCTATCCCTTGAAAGGTAACCTCCTAATGCGAACACTTAACTGTTGACCTAACAGTTCTGTCCGTTGACCCTATCCGTTCTCCACACTTAAATGCTTTACTCTGAGCCTTAATTGCTAACCCCCTGAATGTTTGCACTTTATCAGTGCTGAAGCCAGTCCTTGCAGTGGCAAGTCAAGGGAGTAAGGCAACATGGAGTTGGTAGTGTTCTTCATGCAGTGAAGGATTTATTGTTCTCAATGCTCTCTAGTTGAAGCAGAAGCAGAGGACGTAAGGAAGAAACACATTGTGTATTCTGTATTCTTTCTAGTACAAGCATAAACTATGGGGTTGTTTTACTAAAACTGGTGAGTTCAAAATCTGGTGCAGCTGTGCATGGTAGCCAATTGGCTTCTAACTTCAGCTTGTTCAATTAAGCTTTGACAAAAAAAAAACCTGGAAGTTGATTGGTTTCTGTGCAGAGCTGCACCACATTTTGCACTCTCCAGTTTTAGTAAATCAACCACAATGTATTATACCGGTAGTTATTTCATGTACTTTCCATTGTCTGAAGTGATAGAGCAATATATACAGTAGGGGTACTGATGAAATCTACATAATTTGTGTGACATGGCTGGTTCTTCATTTTTATTTTTATATTTTTTTTTTTTTTTTTTTAAGATCATCACCTGTTCACATAATAGCTACCAGCAAAAGTTTACATTCCTATGCCCGCCCTCCACCAGTTTCCCCGGTAAATGAGTCCGATCTATCCAAATGTGATTGGAAAGAAGAGACCTCAGTCAGACATGAGCGAGTGAGTTTCTATTTCTTAAGCAATATGAATAAAATTACTTCATGTACTACGATCAAACTGTCTGTCTTGATCCTGTATTAGATATGGTTTGTTGTACCCATAAAAATGGAGATTATTCAGATTTCGCAATTTTTGCTTTCTTTGTTTACTTTAAAAACCACGTATCTACTCAAGAGCAGCTGAAATCCCACTTTCTCCATAGATCAGGATTATAAATAAAAATATCCAGTATGTGTAATACAAGCCCGATACCTGGGTAAGACCAGTGTTTTCTACCTTGGAAGGTACCCTTTTGTTGCACAAATAAAAACCACTGGTTACAGCAGACCTCTAATATAACAGAAGGTGATGAGGAATAGCTGGTCAACTGTCCTGTTGTACAAAGGAAGATGGTCATGGGAAAGATGAATGGATGGTCTTGCTGTAATGCACTTAAAGTGGTTGTAAAGGATCAAGGTTTCTTACCTTCATGCATTCAATCCAGTGATGTGCACAAGAGCCTTGGCTCTCCAGAGACCCTCCCTCATTGGCTGAGAAAGCAACAGGAACTATTTGCTCCCGCTGCTATCAATTACAGATAGTGAGCCAATCAGGAGAGAGAGGGCAGGGGTTTGAATGAACATGCAGAGCAGCGCCTTGGGAACAAGCCCGCTTGGGTGGCCCCATAGCAAGCTGCTTTCTCTGAGGGCAAGAGGGAGAGGCCAGGAGTGCTGGCAGGGGACTTGAGAAAAGGAGGACCAGGGCTGCTCTGTGCAGAACCACTGAAAGAGTCACTGGCAATCTGCTCTGCCCCTTCAGCACTCGCTGGAGCGCCAGGCAGTGGAGGGGGCGGGAGGGGCTGGCTCAGGCTCTCAGTGGCGCCAGTTAGGAATGTGGGTGGATCCTGACATAATTGTTGGGATTCCTGCAGAGCCTGGGTCACAGGAGTGCGGAAATAAGCAGAAGCTTTGGCCGTACCTGTCTTTTTAATGCTGTAATATCTCCTTAGTAGACCTTAACATTATCTTAAAGTGACACGAAACCATATCCTTATTCTATTCCAATTATAATCCATACATCTCCACTATTTAATGGCCCTGTAATCTATTTTTTCATTTAATGCTTTCGTACTTTGATTTTCTGCATCCTTGTAATGTTCTCTGTGAGCTCCCTAAACTCTCCTTTCCCCCTCACTTCTGTTTTGTTTGGAACAAGCAGCACAGTGCTTTATGCACACTATAGTTCCATACTCCCTAGTCCATCTCAGGAGCGAGCAAGAGAGGGTGGCTATGTTCAGTGGGACCAATGAGAATGAAAGTAGCCATGATGTCACTGTTAAAGTGTTTCTAAAGGCTAGTTTTTTTTTTAAATTAAAATAACAAACATGTTATACTCACCTGCTCTGTGCAATGGTACTGCACAGAGCAGCACTGATCCTCCTCTTCTCGTGTTTCCAGGCGGTGATCTTGGCTCCTCCTTCTTCTTAGTGTGTCCCCATAGCAAGCCATTTGCTATGGAGGCACATGGTGTCTGCTCCTGAGCTGTGTGTCTATAGAGCCATGATCCATAGACTCACTTAGTGGGGCTTAGCTCCGCCCCCTACTTCCTCACTGCAGTGGATTGGCAGGAGCAATTGTTTCTCGAGCCCTGCGTGAAGAGAAAGAGAGAGGGGAGAGGAAATACAACCATGCACAGTGCTGGATCTATTCTCCCCTCTCTTCCTCTTCACACAGGGGAAGCCGGGGGGGGGGGGGGGGGGGGGGGGGTGAGGGTAGCTTTAGTATCACTTTAAATGAAATGAATTTAAAAAAACAAATGCACTTTAGTGATCCTGATGACAAAATGCCCATTTCCTTTCACTGTTTAGTACTCCTGTAAGTGGCAGTATAACCCTTCAGTCCAATAATTCTCATGTCCCTCACTAGCATGTTTATTCAGACACTAGAAACCCCTCATTCATACTTCTGAGCTGTTGTATGGTTGCTACTAACCCACACAGAAATCATCACTTGACTTACATTTTGTTTATATTCTCTTTTGTGTTGTGTGCATTTCAGGCAAACAGTGAATCGGAGTCTGGCATTTTCTGCATGTCGTCATTTTCCGATGATGATGACTTAGGATGGTGCCATTCTTGGCCACATACCATTTGGCACTGTTTTTTGAAAGGTAATCAGCACATTATCCTTTTGGCTTAAAAAAAGTAAAGTATAACGATCACATGTTTATTTAGTTTATTGTGGGACAGCAACTAATAACATCATGAGGCACAATACGTAGTTACTGGTAGTTCTCAAATGCATTACTTATATTTTATCTCATTGTGGAACATTTTATAACTTTGTTCAATTTCAAATGGAAAGCTTCCTCTACGCACTAGATGGAGCTCCAACATTTACAGACTGTAAACTCTGGGAGATACTTATGGAACTTGATATCATTGATAAGCACTGTTGCTTGTGCATGAGAAATGTCTCCTGTATGAAAGTGCTATTAGACAGGATGGTATATAGTGGCAACAGTTTGTGCGGCACTTTACAATATAGAGGGAGACCGTACAATTACAGTATGGTCTCCCTCTATAGGAATAGGAGGGTCATGCTCATGGAGCTTACAATCTAAAGGGAGGGGAAAATGGTACAAAAGGTAATCGCTGCAGGGGTGGCTGAAGTACAGTTTTTAGGTAAAGGTGGGGTAAGCTTCCCTGAATAAATGAGTTTTCAAGGATCACCTAACCGCTGTACACTGCCCTCCTGATTTCAGTGGCAATTAACTCATTAGACCGTGTCATCTCCACTTTTCGATTTGTGTATTTCAGGGTGCAGGGTTAGGTGCTGTTGTCACATACATGTGGCATTTTTTGAGAAAAAAAAAAAGTTAGGAATACCACGTATGCCTGTGTGTTTTTGGTAAAAGTAAATTGTTAGTAAGTGAGAAGTTCATGGAGTGGCTACAAACCATTTATCAAGTTATGGAATAATGTTCATTCTGACTGTCCATTGTGGTTACTTTTGATCTTTCTCTGGTGATTTGTCACCAACAGACCATAGAACTCATTCTATACTATACTGAGAACTCGCACGGCAACCCCTAGCAGCCAATTAAAATAATCAAGCCATTTTATATTCATTTGTCAAAGTGTAATTATTTGGAGAGTTTTCACCAATCAAGTAATCACTATCAAGTCAAACTATTACTTGATTGAACCTTCCCTGTTCCATTGTAGTGTACTTTGTGCAATTACCAGCATGGGGTCATACTGAATGAGACAAAGCATTGCCAGTATAACTCCATGTGCCTCACATCTATATTTTAGATTTTTATTTTATTCTTTATTTTTCTGTCCTCTTTAATCTTCTTCAGGAACACGTCTATGCTTTCATAAAGGACGCAAGAAAGTGTGGCAGGACGTGGAAGATTATGCCAAAATTGTACATTGTAGAAACGAACGGGAGGCAGTCGGCTCTCAGAAGGTAGTGCTTCTTTTTTAACTTCCTACCTGTAGACCTCACAAAAACATGGCAGATAGTTAAGCCATATAGTATAAATCACAAACCTGCCGTCTAGTTCATGCAGTTAGGAGTTAGTGAGATTTTTATAAGGGATTAACATTGGCCTCTTTAGTTTTATATGCGTTACTTTGTTGACTTTTACAGTTTTGTTTTATTACTCAAATGTTTGTATAGTACAGATACACAGAGCTGTGTGTGCAGCATTGTGGAATGTGATACTTTTTACCTAATTAAAGCTCAAATAAATCTTTTATTCAGCATAACACAATCTTTTATGAGTAGTATACCTTCTTTCCTATTGTTTCACTGGCCACACATGGGTATATCGTGTTGTGGTGAAGAGAATTTGTGTTTTTATTATATCTATTATCATTTCTATTATTATTTTTCTATTATTTCTATTATAAAATATATTATTTTGTAATGTTTATAAAATCCTATTATAAACTCATGAAGCCTAGCATTCTACAATTCCCTATTATGTGTTCCGTTCTAAATGCCACACTGGGGGAGCTTTACTAAAACTGGAACACTAAGAATCTGGTGAAGCTGTGCATGGTAGCCAATCGAAATCTAACTTTAGCTTGTTCAGTTAGGTTTTATTGTCAAAGTCTATCAGCTGATTGGCTTCTATGTGAAGCTGCAACAGATTTTGCACTCTGCAGTTTTAGTAACCCAACCCCACTGTGTCTATTACTGAGAGGATGATACTGTATATTGGAATCAGAACAAACCTGGTACTGATTCTCATTGTAGTAAGTTTGATTAGATGTGCTGGAAAGTAGCACCTGTGTTGCTTGAGTTTGCATAAAATGCTTCTTGTATTTAAAGCTAATCTCCAACATTTGATATACTGTACATAGTTCCTTTTGGGCCATCTTGGCCCGAATGAATTATTTCCCTTACTAACCTGTGAGGCCGCGGGACGTGCAGTATAAATTGTATGTAGCTGCGGCTACATACAGCATACTGTACTGTGTTTCGGGTGCAAGCCGAGACTTCCAGTCTCAGACAACGAACACAGTAGTCTATCACAGCGGCGCTCAGCCATTCAGAGTAAGCGATGTATTCTGCTAGTGCATACAAAGCTTCCTCTGATTGGCTGAGTCAAGAGAGGCAGTCTAATGTCACAAACCCTGACTGCCAATTGGAGGAAGCTTTGTATTCATTGATACAATACATCACTTTTTCTGTCTGAGCGCCGAAGTCTCAGCTCGCAGCAAAACACAGTGTAGTCGCAGCTATATACAGTTTATACCGCACATCCAGCAGCCTCACAGGTTTGTGAGGGACATAGTTATTTGGGCGAAGCTGGCCCAAGTGAACTCTGTAAAATATATCAAAAGGTGGAGATCAGCTTTAGGGAGGGTAGTTTAAGACATGCTATAAAAAATTTAATTTCAGTGTTGGTTATACTACATGTTACTTCCAAATTCCTGAACACATTGTTTTTTTATTTATTTTTTATAAATTGGTATATTAGAGTTATAATAACAAAGTTAGTAGTGCCTAATTCTGTACACATTGTTTTAGATAAGTGCTAGATATTTAGATATGATTTTACCCATATTACCCGGTTACTACTTGTAGTGCCGCTCAAGGTTCTCTGCTGACAAAAAAATAAAATAATCTGGTGTCTCACAGCAATATAAGGGTGCAGGCAGTCTTGTGAATAAAAATAATTATTTTGAGGCACCAAATGTGAACAATGTTTGTTTTTTTTGTATATATAAGAAATGAAGCTGCCCTTAATATGGTGGATGACCACGCTGGTGCAAATGTATATTATAAATAGGTAGGCGCTACATATAAATATGTGAAATGTGCAAGTACTTAAGAGGCTAGTATCACGAAATGCCCCTCAATAGAACCATTATATTTGAATAGATTCTCAGGGTAAATGCTAAATTCCCACAACCTATACAGAAAATATATGAACCAGAAAATAATAAATATAAGTCTTGAGCTTGATCCAGAAAGCAGTGAAGTATATGTGGATGAGAAGACCCCCCCACACACCACTAACTGAACAGGTGGAGTGGAATGTAAACAGTCTCAGTCTTGAGCTCCTTGTGAGTTACGCCGCTGATGTATTCCCCAAGAAACTTTGGGGCTTAGTCATAGAGCTCAAGGCTGAGGCCGTTTACATTCCTCCCCACCTGTTGAACTAGTGGTGTGCGGTGTCTCTCATCCCCTCACATGATCTTACCCCATGTTTCCTAGCTGTGTCTTCTGGGATATGACAACTTATGTTTCTCAAGTGTAATGTCTCTGTTGGAATATTTTATTGAACGTACCAAGCGACAAAAGTTCTGTGGTTGTTTTTTTTTTTTGTTTGTTTGTTTTAATTTGACTAATAAAAACTAATGGCAAAGAAAGTACCAAGAGACAGGAGAAGACAGTTGAATGTGAAGGCATGCTCCAATCTCACTCTGGTGCCTAAGTCTGCACGTAGCTGACCATTCTCTTTTAGCCTATGTAAAAGGGTGAGGGAGCGTTATGCAGACACCTCCCTGCAACTGGACCAGATTTTCTTGTGAGGGATCTGCAGGTATGTCAGGGGTCCGATTGCCAGTCGTCTCGTGTCTGACTTCTTTAAGCATGGTTTCTTTTTGCTGTTTTGGTATCGGAGAGGCCACATACATAGGAAAAGATATTGACAGTGTTAGATTTTAATCATTGTTGGTCAGTCTTGCAGGTTTTCTTAAATGTACACTCTTTTGTTTGTCGCTCCATTTTAGGGCTATGGCTCAGAAGGACTTAAGCTGATTTCACATGAAGAGAGCGTTTCTTATGGAGAATCTGTTCTTCAGCTTACTTTTGATCCAGGTACAGCAGAAGATGGCCTACTTACAGTAGAATGCAGATTGGATCACCCCTTCTATGTAAAAAATAAAGGTAAATTTAATCATTTTTAAGGTCACATGACTCATTCCTTTCTAACCTCTGATTTACCCTTTCTGTAGAGGTAAGTGGGACTTATCATTAGTAGGTCAATTATTCCAAATTTTCAAACCTAGCTACCCCTCAAGGGCCATTGTGTTGCACCCTTAGAAACTGCTCATGTAAATTTGGTAATTATACTAGTGTAAGTGCAGCTACTGTAGCTTGTGTTTTTTGCTTTATTCAAGTTTATTGAACCTTTTAGATAAATATTTTTCTTTCAGAAGTTGGCACAAGCTTAAATAGGACATTGTGTATTCATTTATTAGGTGTATTTCTTGTTGTTTTCCCTAGGTTGGTCATCATTTTACCCAAGTCTAACTGTGGTTCAGCATGGCATTCCCTGCTATGAAATTCATGTTGGTGATATTTGTCTACCTCCTGGTCATCCGGATGCCATAAATTTTGATGATTCTGGTGTTTTTGATACATTTAAGAGGTAATTTGGTTTATTAATGTTGTCTTCACCCAATATTGTTAGGAAGTGCATTAATTCCATTGAAATATGCTGTGTGGAAAGTATATAGATGACAAAGTAGGAAGTCCATCTAACATGCAGTATGCACAAATGACTTTAGAACAGATTGTTGGAGACCATCCGGGTTTTGGCACTACAGTGGGGACAGTAAGTCCTCTGCTTAATGTTAATGCTTTTAGAGTTTGTTGTACACAGAGCTAATTATGGCACCCAGTTAAGGTATAAGGTTGTGCTTGTATAGTAGCCAAATTGGGAGGAAGCTCGTACAAAAAGGAATGCACTGAGACTGCCATGTCTGCAAAGTGTTTTTTTTTTTTTTTTTTTTTTTTTTTTTTAAATTCTCACATGTACAAACATGAGGTTATACACACAGGTCCGTGGTAACAACCATAATGCAGGAGGCCCACTGATGAGCCCTCAATAATGTACACAAGTCTATCAGGCTCTATAAATAGTAAATTAAATCTGTTCACGTAGCATACAGTCCTAAATGAGAAGATCACTTTATAGCAATAAGCACTACAAATACTTTGAATAACAACTTCAATTGGACTGACAGGACACAAACATTTGTTTTCAAATGGTCTCCTGGCCTTCACTACCCTTAGGTAGTGAAGGCCTTGGGCGAGTATAATGACCCGTCGAGTCTAGGATGATGAAAAGAAAATGACCAGCCTTTGCAGAGATGTCAGTCAATCAAAAGGACTCAAGGGGAAAAAAAGGTCTTCCAAATGCCCAGCATGTCTGTCCCCTTGCTGATGTGATGACTGCTAGCTATCATGAGGATTAGCTCATTAGAAGGGTGTGTGTGCATAAAGGGTTACCAGGGATGCCTTCATTCGTTTATATATATATATATATATATATATATATATATCTTTGTATGTAAAATTTGCACAAATAAAGCACCATCACCATAAGGATCCTAGTTCAGGTCTCAAAGAACAGAATAGGAAGAATATTTATGAATAAGCTAAGGCACTTTTAAACTACACTTATTAATTCATTAAAAAAAACGGTATGGGATACACCATAGCAAAGACAAATGACAGTACAGAATATGAGTTTCACTCTACTTAATCTAGAGCAATACAGAGAGTTCTTATAAAAAAAAAAACAACCATCAGCATTACTCTGTATACAGTATGTAGGTGAAGTGTTGGATTTCTGTAATCTAGATTTTCATGTATTTTGACTAGCTCTCGATTTTATAGTAACTATATAACAATCCAATATTTTATTTTTTGCTCAGCTATGACTTCACCCCATTGGACTCTTCTGCTGTGTATGTTTTGAGCAGTATGGCACGTCAGCGCCGGGCATCCTTATCCAATGGTGGCACTAGCAGTCCAGATCCTGAAAGATCTATTGGCAAAGACTGTGTATCTCCACAAACTTCCTACTCTTCATTGTATAATAAAAATAGCAGGAGTCACAACTCAGGGACTTCAAATTCTGTGATGGCCACATCTCCCAACAAGTGCAAAAGACCAATGAATGCCTTCATGCTTTTTGCCAAAAAGTATAGAGTCGAATACACACAGATGTACCCAGGAAAAGATAACCGGTAATGAATAGAGATTATTTTTATAAATGCTCATGATGTGTGAAAAATTTATGTACAATCCTTCTTCTTCTTTTTTTTTTTTTTTTTTTTTTTTTTTTTTTTCTACTAAATAGAAATATTTGTTCAATTAGTCTTCTACACAGTAGAAAATTTTTCTTGATGGGGCTACCAAGAAATCCGTATAGAGTTTGGATTAAATAAGGTGCAATACACAAAAAAGAGAACGGTCTGCTTTAACAAATAGTCTTAAAGTACTGTGTATAAGTTTTCTTTTTATTGTATCCAAAAACTTAAAGTATATGAAAAGTATTTTTTTTTTTTTTTTTAGTTTTGGATATAGAGTGGAGAGGGATTAGAACCCCTGGCAATTTTTATTGCTGTCTGTTCATCTGTTATGGAGATTCACCCTCTCTATTTGTCGGGTTTACCATTATCATTGAATATGAGATAAAAAAAAACCTCATTTTGGGTTGACACCAGGACAGGAGAGGGGAAATTTTCCAACTGGGACACTAGTTCTGGTGATACTCTGGGGTTCCTTCACTTTGGAAGGATTTCCTCTCACGTCCAGTTCTGGCTGTAGGACAGAAAGTGAAGGGAAATCTCCCCTATAGGACACAGATGGCCAAACAGTAAAAAAAACTGATACCCCCCCCCCCTTACTCTATCCAAAATGGAGAAAAAAAAGTTTTGCCTTTATGTAAAAGTTAAAGCCTAAAGTTTAGTTCTAAACAATCAGTACAAGGGACAGTACTTACTATCAGTGTGATGGACTGTGTGCTTCTGTCTCCTGGTTTAGTTGAAATCTGTGCCCATTCTACCCCCTCCTCCATTCACAGAAGCCCTGCTATAGCTTCTATGAATGAAAAACAATCTATGAATGGAGGAGGCAGAACCTTTCAATCAGCCCGGGGTGGAAGGAGATTTGTAAACCATCTCAGTTAATGGGATGGAGGATGTAATGTACCATTGTTCATCAGAACTGCCTATCAAGTGGACATGGCAGTAGGCCCTGAAGGTTGCCAGATGTATGTGTAGGTACATCTAGGTGCTTGGACTTTGTACCTGCTGTAAGTTTTTTTTTTTTTTTTTTTGTAATTTTCTTTATGACCAGATTGCTTTTAAATACATAGTTTTTTTTTTCTATTCAGAGACTAATATGAAAAATCTAGATAAATACAAGCAATTATTACAACTATTTATGCAAGAACATTTTAATCTGATATGGTTTTACAATATTGGACATACTCCATGCAGTTTTTCATTACATGTAGCTATTCTGTTTGAAGTCCTATGATTTCCTCTCTCATTTTAGAGCCCTAAATAAATCCTGTATTATAAATAATACTGCACAGCAACACATGCATGCATTATGACACTGCAGTTCAGCTTGGTCTGAATCCTGTATTGCTGCTGGGCAGAGCCAAATGCTCTCTACTGTGACTGTCCCGCCAATTAAGCTCTCTGTCCAGAGATTGACACAAAATGTTTGGAACTCGTATGGGCAGAGCCAATGTCTGTGACATTTCTGCAAATCTGCAGCAAACTTCAAAGATGTCATAGAAATGTTAGAACTTCCAAAAACAGGTAAACTAAATTTAAATTTTTTAACCCTATTTTTCTGTGGCTGATCGGTCTGGAGTTCTGCATTGTGGTAACAAGTGTGAACCTGGAGCCTGCAGCTCTAACTGTATATTAAAAATACAGGCACCACAAAGAGTATTTTCTTGGTGGCACAAGTTAAAGGAGAAGTACAGCCAAAGCTTTTTTTTGTCTGTACTTCTCCTGTGGATCACAGGAGTGCAGTTTGTTCTGCACTCCTCCTGTGATCCGCTTTCAGCTGAAAGCACGCTGAAGTCCGCTGTCAGCTGACGTCACTCAGCCAGTCCAGGCTGGGGAAAGTTCTCAACTTCAAAGTCGGGATCCAACCCAGAGTCTGGAGCGGCACCTGGCTCAGCATGTCAATGAAGTGCTGAGAGCCTGAGCCAGCTGCTCCCTCCCCCTCCACAGTCCAGCACTCCTGTGAGTGCTGGGGGGAGCTGAGCAGACAGCGGTGACACAGTTCCGTTCTCTGCTCAGAGAGAAAAGGCGAACTCAGCGGTCATGTGAGTGCCTACCCTTAGAGTTGGCGAGGGACAGATGCAGCATTAGACCAATGCAGCATCCAACTAGGGAAGTATAAATAGGGGGAAAAAGCCCTATTACTCTTTTAAAGTTGTAGGAGGCTGTGTGTAATAGTACTAGGATATAGGAGGGTATATGCTGCCCAATAAATTAAAGGAACACTTTTTAATCAGAGTATAGCATCAAGTTAGTAAACTTACCAGATAAATATCCCAGGAGTTTAAGTAGCAGAGGGGGTTGTTAATCAGTTTCAGCTGCTTTGGTGTTAATGAAATAATAACAGGTGCTCTAGATGGGCAACAATGAGACAACCCTAAAAACAGGAATGGTTTTACAGGTGGAAGCCACTGACATTTTTCCCTACTTCTCTTTTCTGACTGTTTTTTCACAAATTTTGCATTTGGCTAGGGTCAGTGTCACTACTGGTAGCATGAGGCAATACCTGGACCCTATAGAGGTTGCACAGGCAGTCCAACTCCTCCAGGATGGCACATCAATACGTGCCATTGCCAGAAGGTTTGCTGTGTCTCCCAGCACAGTCTCAAGAGCATGGAGGAGATTCCAGGAGACAGGCAATTACTGTAGGAGAGCTGGACAGGGCCGTAGAAAGCCCTTAACCCATCAGCAGGACCGGTATTTGCTCCTTTGTGCAAGGAGGAACAGGATGAGCACTGCCAGAGCCCTACACAATTATTTCCAGTAGGCCACTAGTGTGAATGTCTCTGACCAAACAATCAGAAACAGACTTCATGAGGGTGGCTTGAGGGCTTGATGTCCTCTAGGGGCCCTCTGCTCGCTGCCCGACACCGTAGAGCTCGATTGGCATTTGCCATTGAACACCAGAATTGGCAGGTTCGCCACTGGCGCCCTGTGCTTTTCACAGATGAGAGCAGGTTCACCCTGAGACCCTACACTGGTGCAGTGGGTCCTTGGTTCCTCCTGGAGCACTGCAATGCCTGGCCTCACGTGGGGAGAGTATGCAGGCAGGTCCTGGAGGATGAAGGAATTGATACCATTGAATGGCCCCCATGCTTGCCTGACCTAAGTCCATAAGAACACCTCTGGGATATCATGTTTCGGTCCATCCGATGCCATCAAGTTGAACCTCAGACTGTCCAGGAGCTCAGTGATGCCCTGATCCAGATCTGGGGGGAAATACCCCAGGACACCATCCGTCATCTCATTAGGAGTATGCCCTGATGATGCCAGGCATGCATACAAGCACATGGGGGCCATACAAACTACTGAGTACCATTCTGAGTTGTTGCAATGAAATTTCAGCAAAATGGACTAGCCTGCTGCATCATTTTTTCACTTTGACTTTCGAGGTGTCTTTGAATTCAGTCCCCTGTAGATTGATAGTTTTCATTTCCATCAAACGATGGGGCATCTTTACGTTCCTAACACATTACCCAGTCCAGATCAGTATAGATATCCAGCATGATATTTTTCCCCATTGAGATCTGATGTGTTTTCAAAGTACAGAGTAGTGTAGGTGAACAAAAATGTAAGTTACGAAGTTGTCATGCTGGTCCTCTGGCTGCAGTACTTTGAGTCGCTAACGTGTAACAAGTAGGCAGATCAAAAATTCTGATGTCACCTTGTACATTTGTGTGAGCCAGGGACTTAAAGGGCTGAAGCCACAGGCTTAGTATGACAGCAGGGCAAATGGCCTTTTTAGAAGGTCATCATTGCCAATCTACAAAAAAAGTAAGTACACCACACGAAAAATTAACTTTTTTCAACATATTTGAACATGCAAAAATTAAATCTTGGTTTCAGTCATACTTACAGATGCAGGTATTATAAAGTACTTGAACCAATGACACATAAAATTGACATGGTCTGTTTTATGATCTAAATTTGTCATATGGAAAAAAATACATACAATAAAAGCCTAACGGAGATTCCAACCTTTCTCCACTTTATTGCTGATCATTGCTAGTGATTTATCCTCATTTCCTGTCCAGTTATAAAGAAGAGAGGAAATAAACTCTTACAGTGATACAGTTTGAGATCCTATTCAGACCTTTTCCTTTAATACCACATATGTACAGTGGGGATCGAAAGTTTGGGCACCCCAGCTAAAAATTTGTATTATTGTGCATAAAGAAGCCAAGGAAAGATGGAAAAATCTCCAAAAGGCATCAAATTACAGATTAGACATTCTTATAATATGTCAACAAAAGTTAGATTTATTTCCATCATTTACACTTTCAAAATAACAGAAAAAAAAAAAATGGCGTCTGCAAAAGTTTGGGCACCCTGCAGAGTCAATATCTTGTACTGCCCCCTTTGGCAAGTATCACAGCTTGTAAACGCTTTTTGTAGCCAGCCAAGAGTCTTTCAATTCTTGTTTGAGGTATCTTTGCCCATTCTTCCTTACAAAAGTCTTCCAGTTCTTTGAGATTTCTGGGCTGTCTGTCACGCACTGCTCTTTTAAGGTCTATCCATAGATTTTCAATTATGTTGAGGTCAGGAGATTGTGTAGGCCATGGCAAAACCTTCAGTTTACACCTCTTGATGTAATCCCCCGTGGATTTCGAGGTGTGTTTAGGATCATTATCCATTTGTAGAAGCCATCCTCTCTTTAACTTCAGTTTTTTCACAGATGGCATCAAGTTACCATCCAAAATTTGCTGACATTTTATTGAATCCATTTTTCCTTCTACTCGTGAGATGTTCCCTGTGCCACTGGCTGCAACACAACCCCAAAGCATGATTGATAGAACCCCATGCTTAACAGTTGGACAGAGGTTCTTTTCATAAATTCTGTGCCCCTTCTTCTCCAAACGTACCTTTGCTCATTCCGGCCAAAAAGTTCAATTTTAACCTCATCGGTCCACAGAACTTCTTTCCAAAATGCATCAGGCTTG